TAACATCTGGACAGCTGCATTTTGCATATTGTTACTCTAGTGTCTCAGAAATTGTTTTAGCTGAGATTTGCCAATATGTCAAAATCAGGTCATGATTTTGTGGAAAGCCCCCAGATCTTGCTGCATTTTCAGTCTCAAAACCTCAAAACCCATTTCTTCACCCATGAGTATAACGCGCACTTGTTGGTCAACATTTGCATCATACACTCATATTACCATTGAAATTTTCCTCTGCAGGAACAGGAGCGTCATGATGGCCTGAAGTTCTGCACTTGAAAATTCCAAACTTTTCATTGGCATGGTTCTATCAATGATCTGAAAAAGAAAATCAGAATTGGAGCCCTGCAAACTGGCAATTTACAATGCAAAAGAACACACTCTTTAAAGCTACAATGATAAAATTATGCTCAGATTTTGTGAAGTGGGTTGCCCAAGAACTTTCCAACATATGTTATGTTTTATTTAGCAAATTTATGCAATTAAATAATTTTAACCATAGACAGCAACCTGTATTTAGGTTCTGGAAGTATCAAGGTTCTTTATTTCTCAGCTATCTGTATATGGGTGTACAATTTATTCCTCTCAGTGCAAATCCTTGGGTGTGTGTAGATGATTCTGGAGCCATTCATGCTGATCTTAAGCAGTCTTTCAGAATGTTCTTCCAAATAGCTGCTGCTGATTGGCTTTCTTCTTTGTCTTTTGGGAAACAGTAGTATCAGCACTGCACTGCACTGCACACCAAAACAGTTCTTCAGCATCTCAGCAGGCTAAATACATTTATTTTACCTTCCTAGTCCCCACTAGCAAACTTTTCCAACCTTGCACCTCCCCACCTCCCCCAGACATGTTAGACTACAGCTCCCACCATCTCCAGCCAGTTGGGCAATGAAGGGAGCTGTAGTTTAACACACCTGGTAGGTGCCAAAGTGAGAAAAGCTGACAGATTTTAGCTCAAGTACATAAATAGGACAATAGAGTCCCCCCTCCAACCCACCTCCATCCTCTGAGCTGCTGCTCAGCCATATAAGTACTTTTCACGTGGTACATCTGGAATTTGAGCAAGGCCTTTCCCCCCCAAACCTAGAAACAGCTGCCAGCTGAATGCTGTGGTCTGAAAGGAAAGCTTGAACTTATAAACAAAACCATATGGAAAGAATGATCACATCACAGTCTGCCTTGCTTTCTCTCTTAAGAACTAGAGGATGTGCTTCATCTTGCAGCCATAGATGTTTTACCATTATTTCTCTGATGCCACAAAATAATAAGCTTTGCCCAGTCAGGAGGAAGGGACCGAGTAAGCCCCTTGCGAGGTAGGAAATGGTATGGCAATGAAATAATGCTGAGACATCATTAAGGGGGGGGGGGGG